ATATATTTGCTATAAGTGATTCGATACGAAATTGTGAAAACATTGAAAAAGGTTGTGAAGTTGTACACATCTTATATGAAAGCTTGTGACTAATGGAATGTATCAAGGCAATTATGAATTTGTGAATCAATGTGGCTCAGAGCCATTTGTGAGTCAATGTGGCTATGAGCCCTAATGTGAAACTACGTGACCAAGGGTCAATTGTGAATTGTGAACCAATGTGGTCAAGGGCCATTTGTGAACAATGAAATTATGAGGCCAAGGGCCGATGTGTGAAATATGAATGACACTATTGTAAGCTTGTGAATTAAACAGAACCAAAGGTTTATGTGATGGATTGTAAATTGTGAACCCAAGGACCCTTTCCGAATGTGTGAAGTTCTTAGGCCAGGGGCCACATTATGACAATTATAAACCGATTATGTTGTCCCAACAAGCTGTACAGAGACAGACTGATTACATGATTGCAGCATTAATTATGTTTACAAGCATACCAGTACTATTGTTCACTGAGCTTGGCTCACCCTGTGTTATGCCTGTTTCTGTAGGTGATCAACCAGGAGGTCGATCTTAGCTCGGCATCGTCATACTCTTGTCAGCCTAGGCACAACCAAGCTTGGGGTCGGGACCCTACTTTTGTGGAGTTGCTAGATAATGGCTTACACTTTTGTTATTGGCTTAAGTTATTATGTACTTAATGATTTTGTTATATATCCCACCTCGGGGTTGGATTTGTATAGGCCTGTAAATAACTAACTCTCAAATGTATTTTGGCTTTTGATGTACTAACCCTATGAAATGTTTATGATCCTGGCATGACTTAGTAGCTCAATGGATGTCATATTTTCTGGTTTATATCACTTATATTTACAGCTTCCGGTCAGGCCCCTCTATGGAACTAGGTTAAGTGTCCCTTTCTGCTTAGGTCATGCCCAAACTTTTAGGGGCAAGTTTGGGGGGTGACAAGTGGTATCAGAGCACGAGTTGCTATCCCACACACAGATCCATTGAGCCTTAGGATGTCTAGAAAAGACTTAAGCATCATGCATGGCATCCTAAAAATGTATGAAAGATCGATGGCAACGTAGAATGTACTCTGCTAACGCTAACAATTTGAATTTTGTTGGCCGAATATAATTTAATGTTATGTAGGTTATGGTGAGAACAAGGGTGGAAGATTCGGACGAGGCTACCTCAGCACGGTTGGACCGAATGGAAAGAATGATTATGGACATGGCGGAGACCCTAAGGCAACAACAGCAACAACCGCCACCACCACCAGTACCTCCACCCGTAGTACAAGATGTTCATGTTGAGAACCGAACCATCATTCTCACAAAGGAGTTTAAAAAGATGAAACCACCGTCATTTAAGGGGGGAATAGAACCTATGAAAGCTGAAGCATGGGTGCTGGGAATAGAGAAATTGTTCGAAGTGTTTCCATGTACTGAAGCTCAGAAAGTGCAACTTGCCGCCTTTACTCTTGAAGATGAGGCGCGAAGATGGTGGATGCTTACAAGAACAGTGCATCGGGACTTAACATGGGGTAGATTTCTGGAGCTGTTCTATGATAAGTATTTTCCTCAAAGCATGCGAGATAAGAAGGTGACGGAATTTGAGACTCTTAGACAAGGAAATAAGACGGTTGCAGAATATGAGGCCCAATTTGCTGAATTAGCTCGATTTGCACCTCATATGGTGGATACAGACTATAAAAAGGCACAGAAATTTGAAGGGGGATTACGGGGTGTAATTTTAGACAGGGTCAATATGCTAAAATTACCCACATATGTTGAGGTGCTAGAAAGGGCTGTTATCGCAGAAGGAAACCTTGCGGCCCAGACTCGGATTTCCGAGTGGAAAGGGAAGAGACAAAACAACCAATGGTCAAAGAGATCCGTTACTCCACCCGCTAAGAAGCACAATTCAGGGAACTTCAGCACCACTACCACTACTCAAAATTCCACTCCGGTGTGTCCAGACTGTGGAAGGCAACATCGAGGAACTTGTCACTGGAAGACTGGAGCATGTTTTAAATGTGGAAAAACGGGACATTTGGTAAGGGATTGCCCACAATGGGCTCAACAAAAAGGCAATAGATCCGCTACAAGTTCCGCGGGGTCTACACTAACCCCCAATGCGAAGGCGGCTGCCAAACCGAGTAATAACAAAGACACTGCAAGACAAGGTAGGGTGTTCGCTTTGATTCCAGGTGATGTACAAAATACAACGACAGTGGTGTCAGGTACATTTATTATTTATGGTCAATCTGCGCATGTATTGTTTGATTTTGGCTCCACTCACTCTTTTGTGTCGAAACTCTTCGCTCCTAAATTAGATAAAATGGAAGAAAACTTACCTTACATGTTGTGTGTGTCCTCCCCCTTGGGAGAGTCTATGATTTGTGCTACTATATACCTAGCTTGTGAACTTCAACTTGGGGATATTCGGGTGTATGCTAATTTAGTACCTCTCGATATGACCTATTTTGATGTTATTCTGGGGATGGATTGGCTAAGTGCTTATGGTGCAACTATAAACTGTGTGACTAAGCAACTTAATTTTTATCCTCCGGGGCAATCAGAGTCTGTGGTTCAAGGGCAGGAAGTGATTTCACCACCTTATCTGATATCGGCCGTGAAGGCTTGCAACTTAATACGGAAAGGCTGTCGGGGGTATCTATGTAGTGTTTTAGAAGGGCAAGGGATGAATGGGAATACTGATGTGATCCCAGTGGTCCGTGAATTTCCGGATGTTTTTCCCGAAGAATTGCCGGGCCAACTAATAGACCGAGAAATCGAGTTTATAATTGAAGTGGCGCCTGGAACCCAACCCATTTCGAAGACACCCTATAGGATGTCACCAGCTGAAATGAAAGAGTTGAAGATTCAATTACATGATCTGCTTGACAAGGGATTTATCCGCCCGAGTGTATCTCCTTGGGGTGCGCCAGTATTGTTTGTGAAAAAGAAGGACGGAACACTTCGGCTATGTATCGACTATAGGGAACTGAATAAGGTGACAATTAAAAATAAGTACCCCTTACCATGGATAGATGACCTATTTGATCAGTTACAAGGGGCACAAGTTTTCTCAAAAATTGATTTACGGTCTGGCTACCATCAATTGAAAGTTAAAGCCGATGACGTGGAGAAGACAGCTTTTCGAAACCGGTACGGCCATTATGAATTTTTGGTTATGCCCTTCGGGGTTACAAACGCACCAGCAGCATTTATGGATCTAATGAATCGCGTCTTCAAGTCCTAGCTAGACGAATTTGTGGTGGTTTTTATTGATGACATTCTTATATACTCGAAGAGTGCAGAAGCTCATGAGGATCATCTTTGCTTAATTCTTCAAACACTCCGGGAGAAGAAACTGTATGCAAAGTTGAAGAAATGTGAATTCTGGCTACAAGAAGTGGCATTTTTGGGGCATGTGGTGACAAAGGAAGGAGTCTCTGTTGACCCACACAAAGTTGAAGCAATTGTGAATTGGCCAACTCCCACTAATGTAACTGAGATACGAAGTTTCATGGGGTTAGCTGGATATTACAGGAGGTTTGTTCAAAATTTCTCCAAAATCGCTGTGCCACTTACCCAACTGACACGAAAAGGAGTTGCATTCGAATGGTCGGAGGAACGGGAATCCGTCTTCCAAGAATTAAAAACAAGATTGACGACAGCACCAGTTCTGGCTTTGCCATCTGGTACTGAAGGATTCGTAATTTGTAGTGATGCTTCGCACAAGGGGCTTGGTTGTGTGATAATGCAGAATGGAAGGGTTATTGAATATGCTTCTCGACAACTGAAACCCCACGAGAAGAATTATCCCACGCACGATCTCGAATTAGCGGCAGTAGTTTTTGCTTTGAAAATATGGCGGCACTATCTTTATGGTACAACATGCGAAGTTTACACTGATCATAAAAGCCTCAAGTACTTGTTTACCCAGAAAGAGTTGAACATGCGACAACGGCGATGGCTCGAGTTGATTAAGGATTATGACTTGCAGATCCAATATCATCCTGGTAAAGCTAACATGGTGGCAGATGCACTTAGTCGGAAGAATATGGGGGACTTGGCAAATCTGTTGGTAGAAAGAAAGGAGTTAAGGATCGAACTGGATAAAATGAATATGGACCTAGTGGTACGTGAACAGGAGGCCATACTAGCAGTAGTAAGAGCTCAACCCACCTTGCTGGATGAGATTAAGTTACATCAACTGGAAGATGAGACTTTAAGGAAAATCTATGATGAGTTAGAAGCAAAACCAAAATCGGGGTTCAGTTACGTAGATTCGGTATTAAAGTTTCAAAGTCGAATATGTGTTCCCAATGTGTTGGAGCTTAAACGGAAATTGCTAGGAGAAGCACATGCCTCGAGATTATCAATACACCCGGGAACTACTAAAATGTACCGAGATTTGAAACAAAATTTTTGGTGGCCAAATATGAAAAAGGAGATCGCGGAATTTGTTTCTAAGTGTTTACAATGTCAACAAGTAAAGGCGGAACATCAAAGACCAGCAGGGTTATTACAACCCCTTCCAATCCCGAAATGGAAATGGGAGCATTTGACCATGGATTTCGTTGTGGGGTTACCGAGGACTCCTCGAGGTATGAATTCGATTTGGGTCATTGTGGACCGATTAACCAAATCTGCTCACTTTTTGCCTGTAAAGACTCAATATAATGCGGATAAGCTGGCAGTATTGTATATAAATGAAATTGTAAGGCTTCATGGTGTTCCGATGTCAATTGTGTCAGATAGGGACCCCAAATTTGTTTCAAGATTTTGGCAAAGTTTACAGGAGGCTATGGGTACCGAACTTACGTTCAGCACCGCTTTTCGCCCTCAAACTGATGGTCAATTCGAGAGAACCATACAAACTTTAGAAGATATGCTCCGATTGTGTGTACTGGATTTTCAAGAAAGCTGGAAACCCATCTACCGTTGATAGAGTTCACCTACAATAACAGTTACCATTCGAGCATTGAGATGGCACCTTATGAAGCTCTATATGGAAGACCATGTCGTTCCCCCGTATGCTGGGCTGATGTAGGGGATAGGGCATTGTTGGGTCCTGAAATTGTGCAATTAACAACTGAAAAGGTTAAAATTATCCGGGAGAGGTTGAAAACGGCACAAAGTAGGCAGAAGAGCTATGCAGATAACAGACGAAGGGATTTGGAATTTGAAGGGGGTAGTTATGTGTTCATGAAAGTCACCCCGCTAAAGGGGCATCCGAGATTTGGGAAAAAGGGTAAATTAACACCCCGGTTTGTTGGCCTTTTCCAAATTCTAGAAAGAGTGGGTCTGGTAGCTTACCGAGTGGCTCTTCCGCCAAGTATGAGTCAAGTACATAATGTGTTTCATGTTTCCATGCATCGAGGATACCTATCAGATCCATCTCATGTCATAGACTATCGTCAACTTGTGCTAGATGATAAATTAACCTATGAAGAGAGACCACTTCGAATTTTGGAGCAACAAGTAAAGCAATTGCGCAATCGGGAAATTCCAATGGTAAAGGTAGAATGGCAAGAACACTATGGCACCGAAGCTACTTGGGAAAAAGAAGAGGATATGCAGCAACAGTATCCATATCTGTTTCCGTTTTGAGGTAAAAGCAAGTTTGAGGGACCAAACTTTTTTAAGGGGGGAAGAGTGTAACAACCCGACCCTCATATGTGCTTGTGATATATGTTAGTCCTTTATTCTGTGCTGTTAAATGCCTAAAATGAAATTGTCCAAGGAAATAAGTTCAAGTAACTATGTTGTGATGCCGTATGAAATGAATTGTATCTGTTAGGAAACAAATGTATCTGTTACTACTAGAACGATGAAGTAGAAATTGAGGGCCTTAGCGGCTTAATAAGTCAAAATGGATCATATATTGGAACCAGCATAATTTTTAAGTAATATTAAGCACTTCTGTGAAATTTCAATTTCCGGATGTGTAAACGATAGATTTTCGTCTCATTCTCTCTTTATGGATAGATATATATAGGAGTGTTCTAGGTCATTTGAGAAGCCAAGAAATGAATAACTCTAGACTTAAGAAGTGAAGGGATAGAGAAAGAAGGTCCTCAAGAAGATTGAGATTTGGGCTTAAGGTATGTACATGTTTGTCTAATTTCCATCCACAACCCTTCTAGTCATAATTTATGTGAAGATGTTTCTATGATCTTGTTCCTAAGAGTTGGAATTGTGGTGTTGTGAGTATGAGAAGTAAATGAGCAAAATGACCTTACCTTGCATGTTTTGACTCAATTTGAAGTCCCTATGAGAGACCTCAGTCTATGTCTTCAATTGACTTGTTTGAATTCAAGTATGTGATATAATTTTATGTTATGAGTTGAGATGTGAGAACAAGTAGGAATCTTGTGAATTGGAGTAAATTTAAGTTGTGGATTTATGATTTGATTTTTTTTTTACTCAAATGAAAGATGTAATTTGATCATTGTTCACATGTATTTACATGCTTTGAGCTTATATATTGGTAATTTCAAGCTAGATTTTTGAGGCCCTAAACATGTCTACAAGAGGAGGAAATTGTGCAGAATTTCGGACTTTTGGTGCAGAATCGCCGCACGTGCGGGGCCTAAGGCCGCACGTGCGGGAACCTCAGCCGCACGTGAGGGAGTCACTGCTGCATGTGCGGGAAAATGGCAAAATTTTGGAGTTCAACACTGCCAAAAAAGCACGTGCGGGGCCTCAATGCCGCACGTGTGGGAGGTGTGCTGCACGTGCGGGAGATCCTAGCCGCACATGCGGCTCAAGCCAGAAAAATTGGGATGCTCCGTTTTGCGTGTTGGGTCCTTTAATGTTGTCAAAACCTACAATTTATATTGTTTGAATGTTCGTTAAATCAATCAAAGTAAGTGAACCGAATGTTGATTTAACAAGGATAAGGAGACTAATGTAATTTCTCATGTGTGTAGGAAACGCCTCAAGAGGAAGTGCACCGACACAACACAGTGAGTAATAGTACTTCAATGTACCTCTACTCAGTATTTATTATTAATGACGTTGCCACCTTGTAGAAAGTATTATCGTATTATATATTGACGTTATATCTTGACGTTACGAATTTCACTATTAAACTTGTGTTGGCATGAAATGATTAGCATGAGATGATATATTTGCCATAAGTGATTCGATACGAAATTGTGAAAACAGTGAAAAAGGTTGTGAAGTTGTACACATCTTATATGAAAGCTTGTAACTAATCGAATGTATCAAGGCAATTATGAATTTGTGAATCAATGTGGCTCAGAGCCATTTGTGAGTCAATGTGGCTATGAGCCCTAATGTGAAACTATGTGACCAACGGTCAATTGTGAATTGTGAACCAATGTGGTCAAGGGCCATTTGTGAACAATGAAATTATGAGGCCAAGGGCCGATGTGTGAAATATGAATGACACTATTGTAAGCTTGTGAATTAAACAGAACCAAAGGTTTATGTGATGGATTGTAAATTGTGAACCCAAGGACCCTTTCCGAATGTGTGAAGTTCTTAGGCCAGGGGCCACATTATGACAATTATAAACCGATTATGTTGTCCCAACAAGCTGTACAGAGACAGACTGATTACATGATTTCAGCATTAATTATGTTTACAAGCATATCAGTACTATTGTTCACTGAGCTTGGCTCACCCTGTGTTATGTCTGTTTCTGTAGGTGATCAACCAGGAGGTCGATCTTAGCTCGGCATCGTCATACTCTTGTCAGCCTAGGCACAGCCAAGCTTGGGGTCGGGACCCTACTTTTGTGGAGTTGCTAGATAATGGCTTACACTTTTGTTATTGGCTTAAGTTATTATGTACTTAATGATTTTGTTATATATCCCACCTCGGGGTTGGATTTGTATAGGCCTGTAAATAACTAACTCTCAAATGTATTTTGGCTTTTGATGTACTAACCCTATGAAATGTTTATGATCCTGGCATGACTTAGTAGCTCAATGGATGTCATATTTTCTGGTTTATATCACTTATATTTACAGCTTCCGATCAGGCCCCTCTATGGAACTAGGTTAAGTGTCCCTTTCTGCTTAGGTCATGCCCAAACTTTTAGGGGCAAGTTTGGGGTGTGACACCAAGCTTGTACAAGTAGATACCACAAAATAAACAAGATGAAGCCCTTGCTTCCAAGTCCTCCCAAGCTATTGCCTTAGATGAGGCATATCATCACATTCTCAATATTAGTAAATAACGACAATGATAAAGTAATTATCTTCCATTAACTTCCAATTAGGTTCACAAAAAGATAACATATGCAGATATACATTCACAAGCCTAACTCTGAACCTATAGCATATGGTACATAATAGAATGAACATTAAGCAAATAAGAAATGCCCTAAGGGCTTACAATTTTGTGCTTGGTTACAACAAAAGTGGATTTAAATCCAATACAGTTAAGGCCCCAAGATTGTAGAAGTAGATACCACAAAATAAACAAGATGAAGCCTTTGCTTCCAAGTCCTCCCAAGATATTGCCTTAGATGAGGCATATCATCAGCACCTGAAACTAGTTTTCTCACATAGGGTGAGCCAAAGCCCAGTAGAAATAATCCAACACAGCATATGAATCTTAACAAATATATAACGGTGAGATGCATATGTAATGCTAGTAACAAAACATTTTATATCTCTTTCAAACCATGCAATGACAGGTTTATATCACAGTTCATAAAACCTTCTCTTTTCAATGAAAAACAGGACAGTGAATCATATCTTTGGGAATCTCTCAAACAAGTATCACATTTTACAGAAATTTCGTCTGCAGTAAACCGTAAATCGGCGCCCATGTAAACATAAGCTATATATAAGCACTACTGCTGCCATTTTATGGATATTTCGGTCGCGTGATCGCCACCTATATATATGTAGGCTATATAACCACCACTATTGTCTTTTTACGGATATTTTGTTCGCGGGATTGACACTCATGTATATGCATGGTTTAATGGGACTTTCACCCTGGACACATAGGCCAACTTATTTGATGTAATAACAACTCCATCCTAGATGCACCCATTTTCTCAAAACAATATACATTTCCACGAAATAAATACACAACAATGCTCAATGCAAATGGATGAAAAATTAGTTTTCAATTCTCCTAATTCTCATGCAATTTCTACAACATTCATATTTATCCTTCATCGATAGCCCAAAATAGATATCTCTAAACAAATAAATGATTTCAATAAAGATAAAGTTTTCAAATTTCAAGATGTGAGTGATAATACATATCCAATTCCACCATCCTCATCCATAACAGTTCAATGTCCCCATTTCAATATCAATTCCATTTATAAATACAAAATCAACATTTGAGATTTCCAGTGCAAAACCATTTCCCAAGGTAAAAATCCTTCATTTCATCATGCCTTAACAATACACATCTATCCACAATCATTTCTGATAAACCATTTGAAAACCCTTATTTTGTTTTTGAACCAAAACCTAAGATTGTTCAAAAATCCATTTCTTTCAGAAAGTGGTTTTATGAAAACAAATAACTAAGTTAAAACGCATAAGAAAATGCAAAGAATCCCTACCTCAAGCTTAGAAGGGTGGAAGAGATGAACTCATAAAAACCTAATATTGGTGAAACCACAAACCTCTTCGATCTGTCTCAAAGGAGCAAGGTGAAAAGATACCTTTAGGTGAGTAGATTTAAAGATTTAAGTGCAAAAGTAGAGTTTATAGAGAGAGAAGAGGAACCCATGGTGTAGAGAGGAAAAGAGAAAGAGAAAATGAGAGGAAAGTATTTTAGAGCCTATTTATAGTGGCTAGGTACTAATAGAATAATAGCCCCAAGGTCAAATGAAAAGAACAAGTAAAAAATTCCCAAAAAGTAGGGCCCAAACTGAAGAAAACCTGGAAAAAGACTCACAGGGGCCAACCCTTGCAACGATGGTGTCGACCCTTAGAAAGAAAAGTTGAGACATTAATGTTTTGCAGCACACGAGGGTCGACCCTAGATGACAGAGGTGTTGACCCTATTTTTCAGAATGCAATCCAAAACCAAGCATTAAGAGGAGGGTCGACACTAGGAACTCTGGGTGTCGACCCTAAAAACCAGTAGCAACACTAAGGGTAAAGCAACAGAAAAGGATCGACCCTAGGATGATTGATGTCAACCCCAGTAGTTGAACGAAAAAAAAAAAAAAAAACAGTGTCAACACTAACAGAGCTGGTGTCGACCCTTGAAGCCAAAACCAAACATAATAGGAAGAAACACAACCACTACAGACATGGTTTCTTGGATTCAAAAGTAATAAATGGGCCAGGTTAAATCATGATCGCTATATAATTTGTCTTTTAAAAGGATATTTTAATTTGGGAATTTTTGATAAAACTCAAGGGTTTGGTCCAAAATCGAAAGAGGGGTTTTCAAAATGAGTTCTTGAATATGTATATGGGTCTATAAATGTGGTTGAGATGCGATGAAATGATGGATTTTTATTCTTAGGATTGAATTTTAAAGAAATGAGATTTTGCCCTAAATTGTGAATATTTGATTTGTAAAGAGAAAAATGGAATTGGTGTTAGTTTTATGGTATTGGGACAATGATGATGATGAATGGTGAAGTTGGATATGAA